GTGCTTGAGCGATACCCCCTTCCAAGTCTAGGAGGTCAGAGGGGAGGGCTGGGGAGGGGCAGAGCAGCAACGAGGAGCAGGCTGGGGCTATTTGGCTTGGGTGGGAATGCCAGAGAAGGAATTCCCGTTTGTGTGCACGAACGCTCTCTGGGTGACTCCAGGTGATTGGCGGTCGGGCTGGGGACCCTTGGTGCCGTTTTTCTGCTCCATCTCGCGGTGGCCCACCTCATCCTCGCTACCCTCTGATTGGCTCCGCAGGTCCTTTTCCATCTGCAAAAGAGAAACCGAGGGGCTGGAGACCACCGGAAGGCAGAAATCTTTGGTGGGCTGGGGGACATGGAGGTGGCCTCTTCCATCAAGGATACACAACTGTTGTTCAACCTGAGGGCCACACACCAGGCTTCTGTGGCCTTCAAACAAGCCCAGGGCTCTCTAGGGGGAGAGGCTACCCATGTTTTAAGGGGTCATGGGAGCTTTAACCTCCTGCAAGGCTAAGAAGACTTCTGTCATGCCCCTGTCCGAATCTGATTCGGTGGAGGAAGCCAAACAGCTGGCAGGGAGTGGGAGTGTGGCTCTGTTGGCTGTGGAGGAAACTGGAGAAGGGCAAAGTCTGGCTGAGCAGAGCAGGTGAGAGGTAGAACAAGGTGAGAGGCCCACCTCTTCATCCTAGAGCACGCAGGGAGGAACGGAAAAGAGAGCAATGTGGGTTGCATGGCTTACAGGGGAGGAAAGGGCCCTGATTCCCTTCATTAGCCACACCTGGGAACGAGAGTAAAAGAGATGCATGCTGAGTGCGGCAGCTGCTGGGAGCAAATATGAGTTTCTATTGTGTTGACTTTGGTTTATCTGTGTTCCTGGCATCTTCCCAACCGTGTTGAGTTATTGCCATGGAATTCTGGAATTCCTGGTCCTGCCCTGCCGGACTAATTACCTCATTTTGGCTTGATTGGACTTACAGTTTTTGTTGACCATGTTTTGGACTTGATTCTCTGCAGCCAAAGGCTGTTCCTGGGAGAGTTTTTCTCCAGCCCAAAAAGTAACCTGGACATTGGGAACAAAGTTGGAGCTAATAAAGGGACTCCTCCTGATTATCTGACTGTGTTGCCTTTGTGCCATGCCCCTTTGGGTCATCACAACTTCCATGTTACCCCTGACATCTCCCCAAACCTTCAAAACACCTAACCATGGTCATGCCCTTCTCCTGAAGCTTTGGCTCTGAGACCCACAGTACTGGTCCATGGCCGATCTCTGGATTGTACATTTTGGAATCCATTTTACGGATAGTCCTCGATTTACAGTGGTCTGCTTAGCGAAGTAAAAAATGCTACCATTTGGCTGAACCTGTAGTAAAAAATCAGCTACCGGTTCAGCCAAACTGGTTTTTTTTTCCTCCCAACTATCAGCTATTCCGACGATCAGCTGTGCCGGGATCCCCCTCGCTGGCTGCAAATGATGTGGAGCTGCCTTGGAACTGTTGAAAGGACTATGTTATAATCTGAAGATAGAGGATGTCGTATTCCCTCCCACTCACTTATGGCCTCTTTGACCCCTCTTTCAAGCCAGCGGTCTTCTCTGTCCAAAACATGGACTTTTCTGTCTTCAAAAGTGAGGCCTTTGTCTTTGAAATGCAGATGGACTGCTGAATCCAGACCGGATGGGTTTGTTCTCCTAGGTTGTGCCATGCGTTTGTGAAGTGGCTGTTTTGTTTCCCCAACGTCCAGATCTGCACAGGGCTGCCTGAATTGTACTGCATGCACCACGTTGCTCAGTTTGTGCCTGGGTGTCTATGCAGATTCTCAGCCATCCAGGTCACAGTAGTCCCAAAGGTTTTTCGGGAGGCAGCTGGAGTTTGTTTTTTCTTTGAAGACCTTTTGCTTCTCATCCAAGAAGCTTCTTCAGCTCTGACTGGATGGTGTGGAATGGAAGGATTTATACTCCTTGCAAACCGCTGGTCATTTGCATCCTTTGTCTGGCTCCTGGCCATAGAAGAAGTGCTGGGAATGATTCTGTTCCCATGACGTGCCGAGCCTTCCCACGCCCACGATTAAGGCCTCAGGTGGCCAGCTTCATTTCTCAATGCCTTTTTGATAGCAAAATTTATGAGCCCACATTTTGCGAAGGCAGGAAACAACGATTCAATTCAGGAACAGATTCAGTTATGTAGAGTTTTTCTTTCTACAAGCCAGGTAAATATTTGGCAAGAAGTTGTCTCCTTCCTGATGCAGCTGGCATTTGGGGTGGAGTGTTAGCAGTTTGTGGTCCTCTCCCTTCTCCCCAACATGCACCCCCTCCCCCAAATGGCCCATTTCTGCCCTCACCATGCCACAGATCAGGAATCGATAAACCATGCGAATGATCAGATAGGACCAGAAGATGTGGAGGAGCTGAAGAACCATCAAGAGGGCGTTGAAGAAGTAGTAGCCGAAAAAAGGCTGGTAGATTTCCATGGAATAATAATATGTGTTGTGGAGAATTCTTCCATGGAGGAAAGGAAGAGAAAAAAAAAGTTACTCATACTTTTTAAGACTGGTATAATCCATGCAGTAAGGAATTCAGGTTGTCTACTAGGGCTTGAAAAAAACAAGATGATCTGAATGACAACACTGACGTTGAAGTATCTTACTGCAGAAGAACAGACACCCTACCTGGGCTAAAGGCCTCTAAGATGCTTCGAACATTTCTTAAATTGGGGATCCCAGATCTGCACATCACAAGCAGATCTGCCTCCCGGAATACCAACAATCAGCTGTTCCAGGCTGCAGAGATCGCTGCTGCCCATAGGCGCTGCTGCTGCTCATCACCACTGCCAACTATCGCCGCCTCCACGCGCCCCATTTTCGGCCTCCGTGCATCCTGTTTTTGGCTTCTACGCACCCCATTTTCAGCCTCCATGTGTCCCATTTTTGGCCCGTTCCAGGCAGCAATCCCCGCCACCTGGAACGGGTCAAAAACGGGACGTGTGGAAGCCGAAAATGGGATATGCAAAAGCGGCAATAGATGGCAGCGGCAACGATCCCTGCAGCCTGGAACAGCTGATCGTTGGTATTCCGGGAGACCAATCCAACTGCCAATCAGTTGTGTATGATAAATCAGGCTGTCCTGAAACTGACTAGGCTCTTTGCTGTTTGCTGCAAGGAGGCAAATTGCAGAGGCCAAAGGGTGGGGGTCAGCAGGTAGGTGGGACCTCGACAACATTCGCTTTATAAGGCGCACAGACATTTCCACCCACTTTTTGTGGGGTGGGGGGAGTTTGTCTTATAGTCCGAAAAATGCGATAAGTGGTTTATGTTTGCTATGCTTTAAATTCTAATAAATCCCTGAATCCTAAAGTGAGACTTTTTGTGGTGTGTTATCGGTTCAATTGTTATTAACTGCAGCTATGCTCCTAATTGGGACGCAGTGACTCAGTGGTTAAGATGCTGAGCTTGTCGATCAGAAAGGTCGGCAGTTTGGCGGTTCGAATCCCTAGCACCACGTAACGGAGTGAGCTCCCATTACTTGTCCCAGCTTCTGCCAATCTAGCCATTAGAAAGCATGTTTAAAATGCAAGTAGAAAAACAGGGACTACTTTGGTGGGAAGGGAACAGCGTTCAGTGTGCTTTTGAAGGTGTTGAATCCTGCCAGCTACATGACCACAGAAATGTCTTCGGACAGAGCTAGCTCTTTGGCTTTGTAACGGAGATGAGCACAGCCCCTTAGAGCCAGAAATGACTAGCATGTATGTGCAAGAGGAACCTTTACCTTATGCTCCTAATTAGGGTTTTCCCAAAAGCGGTGAAACATGCACGCATGCAACTCCATGTACACGCAACTCACACCCGCCACTGACACAAATGGAGCTGCGCACACAAACACATGCTCACCCACTACTTCTGCAGCCAGGTTCCAAATGGGCCACGAGCCAAATGATCGTGGACCGTTGGGCTTACATGCTGGTTCAAATAGGCATTTGAATATAGCAAGGCTAAACTGGTGAGTCCTGAGATGGGAGAGATGTCAAAAAAAAACTCACAACGGCCGCCCAATTTTTGCCATCAAAGCTTTTTTGCATGGATCCCCGAAACATACTTGCAAGGAAAAATCCCCAGGCGAGTGACCAGAAATGCCACGGAAAAAGTGACAAAAAGGGCATCGCACGTTTTCTGCCACTTCAGGTAAGTAAACATCTTGGCGACCTGCGGAGAAAACGAGAAGACAAAAACAGGAGAGGAAATTGTTTTGAATGGCCGCGGTTCCTTTTTGTGACAAATGCTTCCAGGTGTTCAGGAGACGGTGGCCATTTTCTCAGGGTCTCAACTACAGCGCCTAGTTTCTTCCCTCGCAGAAAAGGGTTGTTGTTTTTTTTTTGAAATTGTAGTTTGAGGAAAACGTCAGAGAGAAACATGGAGATGGATTAGCTCGCAAGAAAAACCTAGGAACATCTGGAATATTGCAACCAATTTTGGTCACAGTAGTACAAAAAAAAAAAACAAAAAAAACCTCAATATCTTTTTTGTAATGTAGCGACCAAAACTAGATGCAGGATTCCGGCTGGGGCTTTACTAAGGCTTTATAAAGCCGTACTAAAACTTCATGTGATTTTATGTCTGTTTGTACAACCCAGGATTGCATTAGCTTTTTTGGCTGCTGCCGCCGCACACGGCTGGCTCGTGTTGAAGGGATCGTCCACTCGGACTCCCAAGGTCCTTTTCTCAGTTCCTGTTTTTGAACCTGGTTTCACCTGAACTGTATTTGTCCCTTTGGCTTTTTCCTGCCCAGGTGTAAAACTTTGCTTTTCTCCCCATTAAATTTCATTTTGTTGGACAGGACCCATTGTTCAAGTCTTTCAAGATCTTTCTGGATCCTGAGCTTGTCTTCTGGGGTTATTCCTGCCAGATTAGTGTCATCTGCAAATTTGATGAGTTCCCCTCATCTGAACAAGTTTTTCACAGATTAACAGAGTTGTCAGGGGTGGGATGCAAATATTTTTACTACCAGTTCTGTGGGTGTGGCTAGGTGTAAGTGGCTAGGTGGGTGTGGCCATGTGGCTGGGTAGGTGTGGCTTGTTTTGTGCACCACTGTTAGGAATATGAGTCACCTAACAGCTATTTGGGTTAGAAATATATAAACTAGGATAAACATTTTAGTACTATATCTTTAAGGGAATGCAAGAGCATGCAATTGGGTGTGGTTACTCAAACAGCCATAAGATGGAGCCAGAAACCTGGGTTGTTTTAGTCTTAGTCTCAGAAGAGAGTGTGTCTGAATGTATCTCTGTTTCCTTCTGTTGGAAAGTATTGCTGTTGCTCCATTTTTCCTAATTGATTGATATTACTGGATTTGATGTAAGTCTGATACTGAACTGTTTTTGACACTGGAATTTGATATTTGGATTATCCCTGGATTGAAAAACTGACTGATTTACCTGTGAATGACTTTTGGACTGCTTATTTTGGACTTTGCTTAAACCTTTCTGGAAGTAAAAACCTACATTTACTGTACAGTGTGTTAGGGATAACATTGTTTACCCTAACTGGTTTGGGTAAAAATAATAAACATGGTATCATGGTTTGTTAGTTAAAGTGTGTGTAACTTTAACAGCAAGAATGTAATTAAGGGTGTGGTTGTAAAAGCATTATATAAGAAGCGAGGCAATGCAGCTCGCTCTCTCTGGCTTACTGATCCCTAATTACTTGATGGATTGATGACTGCGTTCTTGCCGAAGGAGTGTTGATATTTTCTCAACGGAGAGAAAATAAAAATTGGACTGATTTATTGTAAGTGAACTGACATTGGCTATTCAACACGGACTTTGCAAATAGAGTATCCCCGACAAGACTTGACTGAAATTGATATATGACTAATGGACCGTTAATTTGACTATGCTATAATTCTTAAATGGAATAAACTATATTTTTGATAGCACAAGCGTATCTGTATTTTTACTGCGTGTTAACTAGAAAACTTATCTCACACATTTACCTGTCTTCCTATCTGACTTCGCTGCACGTTCTGTTTAGTTTGTTTTCCTTAACACCCGTTGGGGAATCCAGGCTTAACACAGTGTATCTGTGTGCTCTGTGTGTATTATTCCAACACTACTCTCTATACGTCTCCCTGTATGTGCTCATTCTCCTAACGGGGAATTACCTCAACAACCACCACACATCCCGTGCTCCATTTTTTTTGTTTGCCACCTGGGCCTCAGGGAAGGTACCTGGGAGAACATTTTTTGCTCCCAGGAGGTTTCCCTGAGGCCCAGGAAGGCAAAAAGTGGATCACAGGTGGAGCGGGGATCCCAGCACAGCTGATCGTAGGAAAACGGCTGATGGTTGGGAGAGAAAAAAGAAAAGAAATACCAGTTTCGCTGAACCAATAGCTTTACTTACTACTGATTTGGCCGAATGGCAGCATTTTTTTTACTACCGGTTCATCTGAACCAGGCCAAACCAGTAGAATCCCACCACTGGATCTTGTAGTCCAACCCCCTGCCCAAGCAGGAGACCCTACACCATTTCTGACCGAGGGCAGTCCAGTCTCTTCTTGAAAGCTTCTAGTGATGAAGCTCCCACAACTTCCGAAGGCAACTCCTGTTCCATCCTGGTTGATTGCTCACTTATGAAGATAACTCTTTATAAATTGATTATGATTATAATTATTACTATACTTATTATATAAATGTATAGTATTATTTAATTTATTATTAAATTATAGTCATTTATGAAGATATTTGAAGAGTCCTGGGCCTAAGATGGAACTGTCTAGAACCTAGCTGCTTTCCTTCCCTCCATATAGATGTAAGAGTAATATTAGGGACTACATGTAGTACCCAGTAATAGTATCATGTACCGTGTTTCCCCCAAAATAAGTCCCTGTCATATATTTTTTTGCCACCAAAAAAGGCACTAGGTCTTCTTTTCATGGGATGTAATCCACTGACGCACCTCACTTGTGTGCATCGTCCCTGGCCTCCTTTTCACTGTCTAGGGCCTTCAGGAACTTCTTATTCTGTGGCCAGCAAGACTTACCTGAAGGCCTCTGCAGCCGATAAGAGAGCTCTGGATCGATCCAGAGCTTTGTTATCAGCTACAGAGGCCTTCAGGAAAGCCTTGCCAGCCTTGCCGGCTGCAGAAGAAATGGGCCGGCAAGGCAGATATCAGGCTGTGCGAGTCTAGACCACAACTGTCCAAAGGTAAGTAGTAGGGAGCTCCACCCCGCCCCCACCAGCTTAATTTTTATTCATCCACTCTGGAGTGGGTGGGATCTTAATTAGGGCTTATTTGGGGGTAGGGCTTATATTGGGTGCAAGTGTAAAAATCAAGCTAGGACTTACTTTCAGGGGAGGTCCTATTTTGGGAGAAAGAGGGTAGTGTAATACCATTAAGGACTACTCGATGAGTACAGCTTGTCAGCCAGTTACAAATTAGAAGAGGAATGAATATCCTCTGATTCCGGTAAGAATCACGTTACCTCCAAGAGACAATCGGAAATGTCGTGCAGGAACATGACGAGTGAACCGATACGGATGAAATTTAAGCAGAAAGAGAAGCCGATGAGGAAGACAGTGACCAGGTGGTGGACGATCTGCTCATGAAGGTCCTGCAGGGAGAGGAGAGGACTGAACTGGAGGCATTTTGAGGTTCCTTCGTGGAGGCCGAAAACCCCGTCATCCTGGGGAAGGGGTTTAGAGAGAAACTAGATGGCCCGTGACCCAATGAGTCACCGTTCAAGGAATTTCCTTACCTAAACAGAGAACAAGAATGACCCAGGGTGGTAGAAAAAGAAGGGGAACAGTTTCCTGCCAGCTTCACCCCTGAGTCTCTTGTTGAAATCTGGCAAGGAGCATTGGAAATCTCCTCTTCCCTTCCCATCTCTTTCCCATTCCCTTCCCTTCATCTTTTCCCATCTATTCCTCTCATCCCTCCCCTCCCCTTCATCTCTTCCCATCCTTTCTCCTAATCCCTCTCCTCCCCTCCCTTTCTCTTCCCCTCATCCCTTCATCTCTTCCCATCCCTTCCCCTTATCTCTTCCCTCCCCCTCCCCCTTCATCTCTTTCCTTCCCTTCCCCTCATCCCTCTCCTCCCCTCCCTTTCCCTTCCCCTCATCCCTCCCCTCCCTTTGATCTCTTCCCCTCCCTTTCCCTCATCCCTTCCCTTCATCTCTTCCCATCCCTTCCCCATATCCCTCCCTTCCCTTCCCAGCAGGCAGATAAGAGGCTGCTGCTGAGTCAGGGAGGTAGCAAGGGATTGCAAGACTGGCTGGGAAACTGTCACAGAACATTGCGAATGAAGTTCATGTGACTGGCAGCAGCAGCCAGTAGCAGTGAAGCGATCCCCACTTTCCCTAATTTCATCCCCTTGTCAGTCCCGGGTCCTGGATTTGGGGCACATTCTGTAAGTTAGCTCATTTTGAGGTACCCTGGTTCAAAAATGGCAGCCCTGCAGCGCATTATTTTGCCTCCTTAAAGATCGTAGCAAGGTTTTAGTACTATATAGATGCATTGCACCTGTAGAGATGCCAAATTAGCACCCATGTTTTTTTAAACTTTTTGATCGATTGATTGTGTGGTTTTAAAATCAGCTGGCCCGAGTCGTATTGATGAGACGAGCACCAGTGTTCTGACCCGGCTTACAAACATAACAAGCTCTCTACCCGTCCCCTTTGTTAGGAGAGCCAGCAACCCTGGCAAAAGGTCTCTCTCTCACACACACAGCAGGCTAACAAAACCTCTAAGTGCCTGTGGAAAGCACTTAGAGATTGGCTCCAACACACCATGAGTCTCTCTTTCTCTCTCTCCACACTCGTAACACTCCTGGAAGATGTGCCCACTCTTTTCTCAGCAGTGGGGAGACACACATCCACACGCTCCAAAGGCACACTCAGCACCACAGATTCCCAGAAAGAATTCCGATACAGTTCCAGACATGATTCAGAAGTTCGGACTATCAGTGGCTGACCGGCAGGGAGACAAATAGTTGTTTACCACACCCATTCAACTCTAACCCCTGCCTTTTATCCCCAGAGCTCAGGTGGGGCTTAGCTAGCAGCGGTGGCTCTTCCGTCCCAAAGACCGGCCCATAGATTTCCACTGCTCTCCTCTCCTCTGCCTTCTGTGCATCTGTGCGTCAGGCACTGGACCCGGCTGTTCCTCCTCTTCCTCATCAGCTACCTCCAGACCTGGGGGCTGTGGACTCTCCACCGGAGGGCTGATGGCCCAGGTTCCACCTTCCTCTCTCTCTCTGTCAGCTCCTTTCCCTCGTCCCCCTGGGAGCTCCCAGGTTGCCTTGATGCTGAGCCTGATTCCCCATGCCTCCTTCTCCTCCTCCTCCTCTGATTCGACTGCTGGTCACGACAACCAGTGTTGAACAAAATACATATATACTCGGGGGGAAAATCAACTCGAAAGAAGGAACAGTGTTCCTCCTTGGATCTGAATTGGGGGGGTGGGTTTCCTGACCAATCGCGTTTCTTGCGCCAGAGACCACCTACCTTCCGTTTGACATCAAAAGGCAGCGAGATGAGCAAGGAGCAGTAGAAGGAGATCTGCACAAGGTAGTAGCCAAAAATGCTCGTCTGGAGAGGCTGCAACACACAAAGGGGGAGAGGAGGAAGGAAGAGGAATTGCTCCGTGCAATCCCAACTCCCAAGAGCAACAATGAAGTTGTGTTTGTCACATGACAAAACACTAAAGTAGGGTAGCATTTTTCAAACTCAGCTATAATCATATAGGTGCCATGACTCCGACAAACCACCCCCCATTCAAATCATAAGTCTCTAGCCGCATCTCTCAAGAGTAAAATAATTGATTTATTAGGAGTGAACATGCCGGCGCTACCTGGGTGCAGCCGACTCTAAGACACATCATTCATTTCACCCTTGACCCTGGTCTTGCCCTCACCCCCTGGATGTATATTTTCCAATGGGACACATCCATAGCCAAGAGTCATCAATCATGCTCTCCAGTAATAATCTTGCACGCCAACAGCTTCGGCTGCCTAGCAATTATCTGAAGCATTTAAGGAATGCACTGCTTTCCCCCACTTCCTTTCTGCTGGCAACTAAAAAGATCAAAGAAGTATTTTTTTAGTTGACAATAGGTTGTTCTCGAACTTAGGACCCCAATAGAACCCCAATTTTCTTTTTTTTTCCTTTAAGGGTAATTTTAATCTTTTTTTAAAAAAGCATTTAATTCTATTAGAGACAGTCCTCAACTTACAGCGACAGGTAGTCCTCCACTTACGACCCCAATGGAGCCCCAAATCTCTGTTGCTGAGCGAGACAGTTCTTCATGAATTTGCCCCCTTTTTACGATGTTCACGGTTGTTTAAGCGAATCGATGCGGTCGTTAAGTTAGTCACCCGGTTGTAAAACGAATATCACTTCCTTCGTGTACTTTGCTGGTCAGATGGTCGCAAACGGGAATTGCGTGACACTCCCCTCCACAACCACCCAGGGCACTGCGACCATCGTAAATACAAGTCGGGGCAGAGCATCTGAATTTTGATCCCGTGACCATGAGCAATGCCACAATGGTCACAAGTGCGAACTCATAAGTCACTTTTTCCGGTGCCGTTGTAACTTCAAACGGTTGCTAAGTGAAGCATTGTAATTTGACGACTATCTGTATTGCAGGTCTCCTGCAAAAGGGGTTGCTAATGGATGAAGACTTTTCTAAAGAAATGTTCGTTCCAATCCGAGGTGGGATTCAGCCGGTTCTGGAGAACCGGTAGCGTAAATTTTGAGTCGTTCAGAGAACCGGCAAATCCCGCCTCTGACTGGCCCCACCAACCCCCTGCCTCCCGAGTCAACAGTTGATTGGCTGGGTCTTCTTTCGTTGCCCTGCACAGGAGAACGGAGCTGTAAAGCAGGTTAGTGTGGTGAGGTGGGATTGGGAATTTTGCAATATCCTTCCCCTGCCATGCCCACCATGCCACACCCACCAAGCCATGCCACGCCCAGCAAGCATGCCATGCCCACTAAGTCACACCCACCAAGCCACACCCACAGAACTGGTAGTAAAAAAAATTGTCCACCTTTGATCTTGATCGATGCGGTCTGTCTCCCCTCCCCTGGGCAGGAGGTGGCATATGAGCCCCCCGTGGTAGAACCAAGTTCAGATGCCTCCTGTGGGCTCCGGTCAGCTGGGGGCATCCACAGCCACTTTCCCTGCTCCAGGTCGACCTTCCCAGGGACGCCCCAAACATCACCCCCTTTCTTCCCTTGCCTCCTACTCCTGCCTTCCTTCCCCCCTCACCCACCCACCCCCAAAAAGCAGGGGCTTTTGGTCTTCTCCTGTGATACGAGCTGCCAACTCGCCACGGGACAAGAGTTACACTAAGATCAAAAAACTGGTGGAATCACATCTTTAAAGAACAAATGCCAAAGGAGGGACAGAATCAGAGGTGGTCTTCAAGCCAGTTCTGACCAGTTCTGGAGAACTAGTAGCAGAAATTTTGAGTAGTTCGGAGAACCGGCCAATCCCACCTGTGACTGGCCCCGCCAACCCCATCTATTCTCTGCCTCTCACCGAGTCCCAGCTGATCGGCTGGGTCTTCTTTGGTTGCCCTGCACAGGAGAATGGATCTGGAAAGCAGGTTAGTGGGTGGAGAGGGCATGGGCATTTTGCAGTATCCTTCCTGCCACGCCCACCAAGCCACGCCCTCAGAACACTACAGCCACCAAGCCATGATCGGCTGGGTCTTCTTTGGTTGCCCTGCACAGGAGAACGGAGCTGGAAAGCAGATTAGTGGGGTGGGGAGAGACGGGGGATTTTGCGGTATATCCTCCCCTGCCATGCCCGCCATGCCACACCTACCAAGCCATGTCATGCCCACCAAGCATGCCATGCCCACCAAGTCACACCCACCAAGCCACGCCCACAGAACTGGTAGTTTAAAAAAATTTGAATGCCACCCCTGGTTCGAATGTCTCCTGACTCCTTACCTGCTGGGGGTACCCAACCCAACATTCACGGAGATCCCACAACCAGGGCTTCTGCAAGAAGACAACATTTTGTTAGGAATCCTGTCACACCCAGCCCACCATCTATTTATTTATTTATTTATTTGATTTGATTTGTCAATTGTTTACAAGATAATAAGTATAAGTATATACATAGTTATGAATACATGAAATGGGTACATATAAGAAAAATAAAAGAAAAATAAAAGAAACAATAGGACAGGGACGGTAGGCACGTTGGTGCGCTTATGCACGCCCCCTAGAAACCTCTTAGGAATTTTGACCATTTGTTGTCTGTTTGACAGGAATGCTTCTATCCAGTTATTCAGTTGTCCAGAGATACCATAGGATTTTATTTTTAGGAGTAGTTTGTCGTGTACCACTGAATCAAAGGCTTTACAGAAGTCTATGTAGATTGCGTCTATTGCTTTGCCCTGATCGAGTTGTGTCGTCCATATGTTTTTGCAGTGTAAGAGTTGCAGATTACAGGATAGTTTTTTTCTGAAACCAAATTGTTTATTGGAGAGTAGGTTATTTGTCTCTAAGTGAAGGATGATGGATTGGTTAATAATTGATTCCATGACTTTACAGGTGACGCAGCATAAGGAGATTGGCCTGTAATTTTCAACTAGGCTTGGGTCTCCCTTTTTGAAGATGGGGATGACTGTGGCTTGTGACCATAGGTTAGGCAAGGAGCTGGTCCTGAAAGATTTTTCAAAGATTATGCTTAGAGGTTTGGCTATGGCAGTGGATAGCTTTTTTAAGAAGTAGGCACATATTCCATCCGGTCCAATAGATAGAGATGGTTTTAGATTGCGTAGTGATTTTTCAACATTGTCTTCTGTAAAATTGATATGTATTAGATCATTGTAGTTATCTGTGGTTCGGCTAGGAAATACTGGGCATGATCCATTGCTGTTTACAAATACTGAGCCGAAGAATGTGTTAAAGATGTTGGCTTTAATGGTGTCATCGTTGCAGTCTTTACCATTAGGTCCTATCAGGGGTGGGATGGACCTTGAGTCTTTTAGTTTGTTGTTTACAAAACTGTAAAAAGCGCGGGTGGAATTGGTGCTTAGAAGGTTTTCCTCTTGTTTAATGTGATAATTGGTGCATTCAGTCTTTATCTGGTGGCATAAATTTTTGTATCGGCTTTTGAAATTGGCAACGTGACCAGATTTGTTTTTCCGCCAGAGTGATCTCTTTTTGGATTGAAGTTTCCTTATTGTTATGGGTAATCTGTTTTTTTGTTTTGTTTTTGGAGTTGTTGTTGGTACATATAGTTTGATGACTCTTTTGACTTCAAGTAAAAATATGTTGTAATGGTCTTCAACAGTATTGCATCCAGTGAATAGAGATTGCCAATCAAGGGATGAGAGATCGTTGTCTATAAGATCATAGTTGCCTTTTTTGAAGTTATAATTGGGGATTACGTCATCCTTTCTCTGGAGCTCCCTTTGACGGGGAGGATGGAAGGGAAAGGAGAGCACAAAGCCACTGCCATCGCTAAGGTATTTGAAACAGGTTGAAAAAAACAGAGCTGCAAGACCCAGTTCTGCAATTCCCCATGTTTTTCTCATCAAAAAGGGGAATAATCGATATCAGGGAATGAGAAGGTCCCCAGCTGTATTACACAGTGATGGAGGGTTGGGTTGTTGTTGGTTTTTGGCCAACAAACCAGTAAAGTGGGGAAAGTTGGAACTCACGTTGTAAAGGATGGCCAGCGCCATGCAGAAGGAAGTGGCATAGTAGGTGGCCCTCCAGCTGGAAAACAATAAAATAAACTTAAATTTAAAAACCCATCAGGGCACATTGGACCACCAGATGGAAGATTCAAGGAGTCTAGAATTGTAAGGGAATATAAAGATTCCTTACTAACACTGATGATGTCACCTAGCTGGGTAATGAAAGGTCCACAAGAAAACAGTCACGTTCAGGGAGCCCCAAGGATCCAGACCTCCTCCTCCTCCTCCCTGCAACCCCCACTTCTTCTAGCACTGATGAGGTTACCTAGTTTGGTAATGAAATGTCTGCAAAAAAACAACAACTACCAAGCTCAGAGAACCCCAAGGACCCTACATTCTTCCTCTTCCTCCTCCTCCTCCCTGTAACCCCCACTCACCTGGTTTCACAGAACTTCTTGGTCAAGCTGGGCCGGTCCTGATTCAGCCTGTATCGGAACCACCTCTCTACCTGTCTTGGTTGCAGGTTGCACTGCTTGGCTAAGGTGCTGAGGTCTTCCTGGAAGGCAGGAAGCAGAAACAGGTGAGAAAAGCATCCCAGCCAAAGTCCAAGACCACTTGGCTGGGGAAAGCAATAGGCTCCAATTTTTTTAATGGTTTTAATGGGGAGAGAGAATGAGAGAGAGAGAGAGAGAGAGAGAGAGAGAGAGAGAGAGAGGATTGAGAGAATGAGAGACAGAGAGAGAGAGAGAGAGAATGAGAAAGAATGTGAGAGAGAATGAGAGAGATTGAGAGAAAATGAGATCGAGAGAATGAGGATTGAAAGAATGAGAGACGGAGAGAGATTGAGAGAGAATGAGAAAGAATGTGAGAGAGAATGAGAGAGATTGAGAGAAAATGAGATCGAGAGAATGAGGATTGAGAAAATGAGAGACGGAGAGAGATTGAGATTGAGAAAGAGAGATTGAGAGAGAATGAGAAATTGAGAGAGAATGAGAGAGATTAAAGAGCTTGAGAGAAAACGAGAATGAGAGAATGAAAGAGAGAGAGAGAATGAAAGCCAGAATGAGAGAGAGAATGAGAGAGAGAAGAGAAAGAGAGAATGAGAGAAAGAATGAGAGAGATTGAAAGAGATTGAGAAAAAATGAGATTGAGAGAATGATGGAGAGAGAGAATGAAAGAGAATGACAGAAAATGAGAGAGAAGAGAGAGAGAATGAATGGGAGGGAGGGGGTGTTTAACGCATCATATAGCATTTCAAAAATCCTAGGAAATCCCCTTACTCCCATTTCTGAATTTGACCCCTTCTGGCATGTTAGAATTTGTGAATAACCCACCGGGGTTATCCCATTTTTTAACAGCATCATCTGAAGCGTCTCATGCTGGAGAAATCTGACTTCAGCAGATTCTGCTTGAGAAAAGAAATTAATCCCAAGTCCTCAGCCTTACAACTGCTGCTTCATGTGTGTTACACTCCTGCATACTTTTGCACACCCAGAGACCAGGGACTTTAATTGGATTCAGCACTTCATAAACCCATTTTATGCTTAAGTCATAATAAGCATATTTAACCAGATTAAAACTTTTAGTTCAGGGTGGTTTTTTTTCTCCCAATTCTTTACCCCACATTTCCTTTTGAGGTTTCAATTTTTTCCTCTAGTCTCCCCCAAAAGTGCTTTTTTTTTCAAGAGGCAACTGAACTTTCATTTTTTTTTTATTTGAAGAAGTTTTTGCTTCTCCTCCAAGAAGCTTCTGACTGGATGGCGGAGAATGGAAGGATTTATACTCCTTGCGGACAGCTGGTCATTTGCATCTTTTTGAGAGGGTCGTTGAGGCCACTTGGAGATTGGTCTGTGTCCCTCGGGGTCACCTGAGTAGTGCAAATAGGTGTGGAGCCTTCTTGGAACTACTGAAAGGACTGTGTTGTACACTGGACATGGATGAGGTCGTCAGCA